GCAAGGATTCCTCTGCTCTTCTTTCCAAAGTAGTAGTCGGATCATGGAGAGATATATATTTAAAAGATTTCGCTGTTTGCTGAATCAACCGACAGTTCAATGAGAACAAGGATTTGTGTTTAGTATTAGGCTTTGGATATTTCCACATGTAGATACAACAATGAGTTGAATTTTCACGTGGAGATACAATAATGAGTTGAATTTTCACGTGGAGATACAACAATGGGTAGTTCAAAACTCATTGTTAAATTAAATGATTGGGGTCACATTTGTACTTTTGTTTTTGCAGAAACTACTCCTACTTAAGTCGTGACAGTCCCCTAATTCTAGGTACATACGTAAATTTTTTCCCTGCTTCCTGAATCAACCAACTGTCGGCAGTTTGCCTTGCACCAACCAATGAGAGGTTCTTATAACACACATTAGGATTTGAAAAAGTTTCTCAAAAGAATTTACTGACTGACAAAGTGACAAATAAAACTCCCTTACCATATACTATTAGAAATTAGCACTCACAACGAGAAGCTATCCATTAATCTCCACGCTGTCGATTGAATCTACCGAGACAATGTTAGGATCATGAGCCTATGATCGTATCTTTTAGTTTTAGTGATTGACATGACAGCACAAGCCTAGAACTAACATATGTGCTAAAGATATGTTAGACACGCTATAATAGGTCCTAAGGATGCAAGTTAAAGTTTGATCAAGATCCGAGTTGAAACAGATAAGAAACTATGAAGACTACTCACCAAATCAGTTGATTAGGCCCACCAGATCATAGGTGTAGTCCAGTAAGTCAGCCAGAGAAGACAATGCACAGTGGATGATATGGTGAAGAGAATAATCATGCAACGAATCATCTGGTGAACATCAGAGAGTTGGCATAGTAGAAGACCTCGATGACCAGTGCCACCGGATGATATGGTACAACACAGAAGCACCTTGTTGGATCATCCGGTTGTAAGGATCATGTGCCCATGATCAACTTTTAGTTTTTGTGATTGAGATGCACCACAAGCCCAGAACTAAGATGTGTGCTAAAGATGTGTTAGATAGGTTATAATAGGTCCTAGGTTCAAAATGTTAAACATTGATCAAGATCCGAATCAAAACGACGAAGAAATGATGAAGATTCCTCATAAAATCAGATGATCAGGCCCACCGAATCATAGGATGGAGTCCAACAAGTAAGCTAGAGAAGACAGTGCCCACTAGATGATATGGTGAAGACTGAAGAGAAGAACCACCCAGAAGAATTGGCACACTAGAAGACCTGGAAGACTAGTACCACGGGAGGATGGTGAGGACAACCAAGAAAAGAATCACCTTAGGTGTGAACGACATTGTTGATGATGAGTACAACCAAAAGATCATTCAAGTTCTTCATAAGATGGAGTACAATGTGATCATCTCAATTCTTCATGAGAAGAAATTTGATTATACGACACCCAATCAAGTCATCGACAAGATCATCAATTGCTCATGAGCTCCATATGAGAATCAAGAACTCTTCACCAACACCAAGCATCAAGGGTTTGCCCGCCATAAGCAAGTACAAGAGCAAGAACAAGCTAAGGCGGTAAGAATCAAGATCAAGCGAAGAAGAAGAGAAAGATAATGAAGAAAAACCTTGACGCACTAGTGGACATTGCATTCACAACTTTGTAATTTCAAAATAGTTGTTGAATATAAGGATATAAAGTCATTGCTAAAATCATGCCTCATGCCTGCAGAGACCAGTGAGATCCGGATTCACCCAACGTCCGCCATCCACAGACCAACGAGATTGATTAACATCAGTTCATGTGAGGGTGAGTTATATATTTTCATGTATATTTCAGTTATTAGTATTGTAAGCTTATTTTTTTCTTATTTCGAACATTAGTATTGTATTTGAACTATCTACATTGTAGTTGTGCAACTTTTACAACTTAATCTTTGAACTTAAAATTTATCATGTTATTTATTGCTTGTATATCAAATTGAATTGTAAAATTTACAATTATATATAAATTTGGTAAATAGATTTTACCGGAAACTGTGTGAAAATTTTAGTGCGACATACCCTTTATTGGTGAAGTCCTAAGCTCGTTGTTGCCTAGTGGGAACTATCTACATTGTAGTTAGGCATGGTTTTATTCAGCTTTAACTCCTTGCTACATTGTGCTGAAATGTAGGAATAAGTGAAGCCTAATAAAATAGTAGCTGTCACTAGCTCCTACTCCCTCCATCATGAATATAAGATATCGAAGGTTCAAAATCTATATATACCAAATTATAATTTACTCTAGATTGTTTAACTCATCCATGTGTACCTGCCTTTTAAACCTCATATATACATGCCTTTTAAACACTCCTATAATTGGTAGCCCAAATCAGTGACATACATGCATGAATATCTTTTTAAACTATGCAAATTAGAAAATTAAGCAGGTTGATAAACAAACTAACTAACTACTGAGGAGTAAATTAGTCTTTTGTCATACTCCTTAGTTTCTAAAATTATTTGGATATCTTGTATTCCTGGACGGATGGAGTAGTTTATTTTGAGGGGAAAAAAGCTCCTTATTACTGTGTATTGCATGGAAAAACCGAAAACTCTACAAAACGGAGCCATAGTCTCACGCATGTTCCACAATTCACCACAGGAGCCCTCTTCTTCTCCACCAAATAAACAAAAAAAGAAAATCGTTTTCCTAGTAAAAAAATATATCTGATTTTTTTAAAGAGAAGTGAAGTCAAGAGGAGACGTTCAAACAATCTGGTGAGACGTGTCTGAACTCTGAAAATCATCCTGTCCACCCATGTCTTGTGGTCCAAAACTGCCTACGGAGCGTGGATCCCAGGCTCCCACAGCAACTGAAACAGAAATAGAGCGACACCAGAATCGCCACCAGCCCACACACCAAGAACAACCAGAGAGGCAGGCAGGAAGAATCACAGAGAACTCACAAACACATCTTGCAGAGATGAGCAGCACGACAGTGCTGTTCTCCCTGACCTCCTCCCTCCTGTTCCTCACCAAACCTTCTCCCGTCGCCAAGGGCAGGACGGCGGCGGCGGCGGCTGTGAGGTGCAGCAGTGGGCCATCCCTGTCAGTGGGACATGAAGAGGAGGGGGGAGAGGAGGTGTAGCAATGGTGGGGAGGAGGCGGACATTGGCTTCTGCAGCTGCTGCTGTCTGTGGCGCTCCAATGCTTGGGTTTGCAGGCCTTGGTCTGGCGGCCACTCAGGGCCTGCTGGCAGGGAGGATCCCCGGCTTGTCTGAACCTGATGAAAATGGTAAACTCTTCTTCTTTCTCTTTTGTGACTGACTGAATTTGGTTCATTTGTTTTGGATCTATAGGAGTAGTTCATAGTTAATAGAGACCAACAAATGCTTTGAAATTCATGCAATAATACTTAACTGCATAGTCTCGATGGGCAATTCTGTGTTCCTCTCCTGTGGAATATTAAAATTACAGTTAAGGTTCAGACAGAAATCTTGTTGAATTGTTTTCATGATGCTGATTGTTCAGACAGGTTGAGAACATACCGTAGGCCAGACGACAAGTCCGGTGGCCACGGAGTTGGCTGGAGCCCCATCATCCCGTACAGCTTCAAAGTTCCAGACGGCTGGGATGAGGTGAGGCCTGAAGCTGCTGACACAATTTCAGGTTCACAAAACAGTCCCTTGCCTTCTGATGCAAAATTACTCGTTCTTTACCATGGCTCCAACTCCAACTTAGGTCCCGGTGTCAATTGCTGATCTTGGCGGCACGGAGATCGACCTGCGCTTCGCAAACCCAAAGGAGGGCCGGTTGTTCGTCATCGTAGCCCCGGTTCGCCGGTTCGCAGGTGGGGAACTGAAACCTGAAGAACATGCTGAATCGTGAGGTCTTCATAGGGTGTACCCTAACGATATGTGATTTACTCTGCCAATTCTGTCCCACAGATGATCTTGATGATGCGACCATCGAAAAGATCGGCAACCCGGAGAAGGTGATCACCGCCTTTGGTCCAGAGGTCACAGGAGAGAATGTGGAAGGGAAGGTCCTGTCCACGGCGACGGCAGAGCATTCAGGAAGAACTTACTACCAGTTTGAGCTGGAGCTACCCCATGTGTTTATTACCGCCACGGCAGCTGGGAACAGGCTCTACCTGTTCAGTGTAACTGCAAACGGTAAAACCATTGTTCTTAATAATCGCAGAAATGAAAGACATCTCATTGCAACTTTACTTTTTATCCTGAACAATAGCTGGGAATCTTTTGCAGGTCTGCAATGGAAGAGGCATTACAAGGATCTGAAACAAATAGCAGAATCATTTCGAGTCGTGTAGGGTTTCAACTCAACTTTTTCACAGCGCCTGGCTCTTATTAATATGATTAGAGGACATGAGGGATTGTATTATGGAGAGAGGAAAAGTGAACATCACTTTTGATGATCACTCTAAAATTAGAAAGCTGCAGCATTTCAACAGCATGTTATTTGCTCGTTAAAGGCTAAATGCTTGTTACTATTTTTTTCTGATGTTGCCTCGAAGGGTACAGATGCTTGCCAATGCATATATCTAGAAACTTTCGTGACTAAAGCATACACGTCAAATCTGTCCACTTTGTGTGTGGGAACAAAACAATTCATGTACAGTTGCTTGGTTGCAGTGGCCAGCCCTCCATGTGGTCCAATAAGGTCATTGCATCTTGATCACAAGAAGGAAGACATGCTTCACTAACTTGCATCCTTGAGTACCAGTTTAGCTTCATCACAAAGTGTCAGTAGAGCTCCAACGGCCAAATTGAAGCACTAGCGCACTTCCAATGATGAGTGAACCGTGTCATCATACAAAGCTGCAATTATGAATAGACGTCAGTTCATCTGGGAAGGATCTTTGAGGTGCTATGGTTTGGACAATACACTTTAATCAACAGCATTTTATCTCAATTCTTGAAGCCAACAAAGAGTATCATACAGTGTAATGAACAATAGAATCAATACCTATACATACATCGGCAGCACGTCAGTGCCTCCCAGTCAAACAGATGCACTCAGGAAATGGGTTTTCATAAAAAGATTCCTCAGTCCTAAGCCGTGCTCTGCCCTTGCTTCCTGGCAAGGAGCCATACCTCTTCCTTGGAGCCCCTTGTCTGCAAACAGAGAAATGCATTCTTAATACAATCTTTGAATTAAATAAAAGTACTGTACATATGACTATCCATAACTATAAATAAAATAAAATCACCTGTATTTATGCATCTCAGTAACAAGTGATGACAGCTTAGGACCTTCCATGAGATCGCCTTTTTCCAGCAAATCAAAGAGTTCCACCAATCCTTTCCTGCAGATTAATCTAAGATTAATTTAGAAAGGGAACTAAACAAACACTTAGTTACATGGTGAAGATTGATAGACCAGAATATCAAAAGTAAAAAAAAAAGAGTAAGTAAAAGGAATAAATAAAGGACTTATAATTGCATCCACGCGTGCAAATGTGCACAGAAAAGAAACATTTAAAAAGATATTGGGATCTAAGAAATATGTTCAAGATCAGTGTGCACTTATCAGAGACTTGTTTCGGAAGAAAAAATAGAAATTAGGCAAAGTTAGAAATCAGAGAAGTAGCAAGATCAGATAAAACAAAGCAGGCTTTCAGGAGAAAAATCCCATGTTTACCTGTCAGGAGTGATAGTTTTACGATGCCCTAGAAATCGACGATGGCCTTCTACGGCTTTTGCCATATTGCCAGAGTGTGATGGAACAAACACATCACTTTCAACTGCAATTATGTAATCAAGGGCAGCAACTTGAGAGGCATGATTATTGAATTTCTCAAACTCTTCTTTTGTTGCTAGCATCTCCTGCAAAACTGAAATTGTAGTAGCATAGCTAGGAATGGTAGATACAATCAACAAAAAAGAAAGTATAAATACCTTGCTAACCAAATTTGGGAAGTACGATCTCAATTTTGATATATACTTTTCACCACCATAAATTTCACCTGCTGCAAGGTATATCCATGTGGATTCAGGATAGCCCATAGCACGCAGAAAAATGCCCACCTCATTTGGAGTCAGTGGACAGTTGCCTTCATATCTCTGTTCAGTTGAGTTTATATCCTTCAGTTTCCAGTGGCTTGTTCTCTCTCTATTGAAAGAGAAAGCAAATAAATACAACAAGCATGTAGAAATGGGGTTGTATGGATGTGCTTTGGTTGTTCATACCTCATAATTCTCAACTCATTTGCTTCCGAATCACTCAGACCGTAAGTGCATCCCGTAAATGCTAGCATATCCTTTTCATATCGTAGATGAAGAGCAATATATTTCCCACGAGATCTTAGACGTTCTACTAGCTTCTGTTTCGTAAGTGTTACGTTGGCTCAGAACCTAATTTAAAGACTGCTATAAATCTCCAACTGCAATTGAAGACTGCAAATTCTGAGCTAAAGATATGTACAGTTTATCAAGAGAATTCATGCCTTTCCTAGGTCTTCAATTAGATCCGAAAATCGCAGTGCTTGGTAAAGACAGCGCATCTCAATCTCTGGATATCAATTGGAAGACCGTTGTTAGCAAGACGCGAGTCAGATTTTGGGATGTGAACTACCTGCAAGGCAGTGTGAGGTGAGATCATATAATAGTTACAGACATCAGATCGAGGCAAAAATAGTACTTTCACATTAACAGAGATAATGACTGGAGCATAGTTTGCAGAAGTAAAAGTATGAACCATTATTGTAGATGGTGCGGTCGCTGGAACCAGCAGATTGGAGCAACTGACTCACTGGACAGCAGACCAGATGTTCAGATTAGGCTACTATGTACTCCCGCCAGTCTCAATTAAGTGATATTTTGGGGTTCTCTTAGGTCACTTACTTTAAGCTTTTGACTACATAATACTTTTTGCATATTGAGTTTCACTGTTCGGAAGTGGGACAAGTAGATTTGTCTATGACTCTTGAAAGATAGTTTCACAAAAGTAGTCAAAGGTTAGAACATTAGACTTCAGAAAACATCAGAACATCACTTATTTGTCACCGGAGGGAGTAAAAATGAGATCCAACCTAGGAGGAACTAGGTGGTTTTTCATTCAGAAGAGAAAATAGGCACCCAAATTTAGTCCAAGACAGGACTTGAACCTGGGTGGTCGGGTGCATTGCCACACCTCTCACCCAACCAGTTGAGCTAGGCTCACTTCCTGTCACCGGAGGGAGTAACTAGTCATCTTTCAACTGTTAACTACTCACAGGAATGGCTGGTAACCAACTTGTTGCAAGGCAGATCACGGGACATAGCAGAATGGGAGGCAGCACCATGGGAGCAAATGAGAGATTAAGACATGAGGGAGGAAGGTTAGCGAAACAATGCAAGGCAGGCGACGCAATGGCAGAGGCTACAGTTCCTAGAACAAACTTGCTTCTTGGACCAATTGAGTCAATGGTTTTCTTGGAGGAAAGAAACACCGCAGGGTATCCAAATACTACAGAGTACAGACCCTTACCCCTGGCACCGCACCATGTCTACCTCATCGTGCTACATCCTCCATGTGCCTAGGTCATCGCCTATTTGGCAGGTCATCCCCTGATGACTCAATTTGACTTTATGGCTTAATAACAATGCTCAAAACCAGTTTATATCAAATCTATCACATAATACCGCATTGAGGAAAGCTACTTCAGGCAATTACGCCTGAAGCATAGAAAATCCTAATAAGCACATCCATGAGAAAGTATAACACGATACTGCATACAGGCAACATCCAGGAAATGTTATTTCTCTCCCTATAGCATAAGGCAATTATTTCAACAAGAACAACTACCCTGACATTCTCAACTCATTTTGCAATTTAACTAGAACCACCATATCATATCATATCAGTTCAACATATTAAATAATAAGCAGCAAAAGAGAACCTCCTCAGTTTGGTGTTTGAAAGGTAACTGAACTACCTTCTGATTCTTCCAGAGCTCTTTCACTTCCTCATAATAACTTGCACCAGACCATGAGGTGAAGTGTTTCCGGGCTCTTGGAGCAGATTGCAAACTTCCAGGCAAGTCACTCACAATGTGGACATCTCCTTCCAAAGCTTTAATAAAATGAGGCTCATCAAATATGTCTTTAAATGTACTGTAGACAGTGATGCAAGTTGTTAACAAAAAATTAAGGAGCAATCAGACAGAATATATGGCAATAGCTAAACTATAACCTAATGCTCAGAACCTGGTATCTTGCCAGAAGGATCGCTTATCTAACTGAGGGATAACAAGTGTTGCATTCACCAAACGGGCAACTGCGACCATATCACAGATCTGCAGAGGAAAGATATAGGCTAAGACTAAATATAGGAAACCACAATTTTCTGAAGTTAGATATTAATTACAATAACTGAGTCAAAGATGACACAGATTTATCAGAAGACACCAGAAAAAAAACAGGAAGCTATTTTTTTAACAAGAACAACTATATAATTATAGATGCAAAAGCTTGCTCACATAAGATAGACAAATATAAAGCTTAGAGTTCAGTCTTGGTGCAATGGACTTACTCCAGTGCGCATTTGGTTGAGTCCACCATTACTTCTAACAGTCATGTAGCTGTCTGACTTGCCTTGAACTGATAATACAAGAGCAATTGTTAGAGCCATCAACAGAAATGATAATGACAGAAACATTATCACAATACCAGCATACCACATACACATATGCATCATTTTTGCATGAGTGCTGTTATCAGATTGCATATATACAAAGAAGGATACATATGTTTGACTGTGTATAGAACAATTACAAGATGAGTTCTGATTTGGTCATTGTTGTGTTGCTCCTATGTTCCTAGACTAGATAACGTACATATAAATTTTAAAATAAAGTAGGAAAGCATCAAACCGAACCTTCTTGTTTAATTTACTAGCTTGTACAATCAAAGCCACTAAAATCAAAGAAGATATTATAATCATCTCAGAAAATGGGGTAAAGATGAAATCACGAGCCTGAATCATATGCATGAAGTTGGTGTCAACAAGAAGAGCTGGATTATCCACTAAATTGTACCCTAAAATCAACTCAAGTGCTAAGAGCTAACATTTGATATCATGGACACCTCAAGCATTTCATAATAATAAAATGACCATGGTGACTTTGATTTACTATAAAAAAAACTGGTGCAAAGAAAATGAAATTTACCCTTATATCTAGAGGTTGGTGTAACACAAGCATGATAACCATAGCCATTAGAAGCCCACAGTTGATCGCTTGACACCTGAATATCAAGCAGTGCTTCGATTCAATGACAATTGGATTTCTATGAGTGGTAGCATCACTACTCTTCATGAATAAATCTGTTAATATCAGTTTCATTTCACTGGAATGGAAAGCATGCAAATTGACTTTACACATCTAATACCCAAAGATATATAAGCCTGTTCTGTCCTGTGAGTCTTCTATTGCACATGTTGGTGCATACAAAATATTAGTAGCATAAGAAAAATTATTAAAGAAAAAAAATTATATGTCCAGTTTCTAACTTGGTCATCCAAAAATAAGGGTGTCAAAACTCAAAAGCAAGCATCAAAGTTTGCGATCATGCCCTTCTGAAGTTTCTCAAGCTAACATTTTTTACATGCTCTCCCTAGATACAATATTTCACTTTCCCCAAGCAATAGCATCCGGAGTTGGCCTATCCTTAGTTTCAACTCTCAAGATGGCATGAATGATTAAGATTGGTCTACCCTTGTCTCCAACTAGGTAAAATCTTTCGTTTGAAGGACACCAACAATCAGTCCTTCAGTTACTAGTTTCACGAAGATCAATAAGTGTGTTGCATTGCATACACAGCTATTCTCTATCAACAACCAGGGAAATGAGATTAACTTGACTACCAACGTGAGCACAAACAAGGCAAATTCAGGCATTCAGCAACCGCATTGCACCAAGCACCGACGCCTAGCGTACCAACTCGCGCAGTGAAACCTCAACAAGCAACAACAAGCTACCAGTAACCAAAATGGAGAAGGAGGGATCGCGAAACGGGCCTGGCGGGGCGGGTCCGGGTCCAGGCGGGATAGGTCGACCCGCACGACCTGGTGCAGGGAGGAGAGGAGGAGGAGCGCGGCGAAGGCAAGGAGCAGGCAGGCGCAGCGCGAGATCTGCGAGCGCAGGAGCCGCCGGTGCGGGCGGGGGTGGAGGAGCGGCGGCGCCCCGCGGGGTTGCGCCATGGCCGCGAGCGAGCGAGCGAGAGGGGATGCAATTGCAAGATGTGAGATCGGTCCGGCCCAGTGGCAAACCGTTGGCTTTGTGACATCTTTTCGTGGGCCAACGAGTTGGGCTTCGCTTTCCTTACGCTTTCCCATTTCTTTGAGACAATGGGCCAACCACTTGAGCTTGTTTCACAGTGGATCAGATCCTAATCCTTACCTTGTACTCAAAGAAATTAATAATAAAATAAATTTTAGTGATATAGAATAGTAAAAATTCAAAGTGGCCTGAATTATTTTCTATTCGAATCACTGAGTAGTTTTCTATGACCTAGAAAAACAAATTGTATTCTTCTTAATACCATCACCGGTTGACAAATGCTGCCGCTACGATTACAATATTTGAGGGCACGATTCCTTCCCATGTGGCGTGTGCACAATGTGTCAAAAGAACTCATTTTTTCCTAATATAAAATGAGATTACAACATAAATGGAGGATTGAGGTCCAGATTATATTCCTCATCCCCATCGTGTCATGCAACAGTCACATGATACACACATATCCAAATTAACTATGTACGTACTGAAACTAAATAACTCCTCCGTTCTGAAATGATAATCATATTTTATATAAGAAGAAGTCAAATTTATAAACTTCGATTTGATCAATTATATACAAGGTTAGGATATAACTTGCGTGAATAGATTTGTTTCAATATGCCTATTGTTGGGGGAAGACGGTCCCGGCTCAGCCCTCGTCCTGGCACTCGACCTCTTTTCTGGATTGACTGATCAATCTCACGGCGGGTGCTAACCCCTGCCGCGAGGGTTTTTTCCTCGTTAGATGTCCCCTGTTATCAGGCACCGAAAAGCGGAGGTTCGTCGTGACGATCGGAGGTTTGCTTCCATGGACGCTGGCCTCGGGCGGATGGTGAACCTCGCCCAAAGTAGAGGGAAATGGTGCGGACCGTCAAGGGAAGCCGGCATGAAGACTGCATCGTTCCCGCATAAAAAGCCCTTAGGGTTTAGGGTAGATGGCCATGGGGGAAAGATTACCGCCCTACCCTTGATCATTGTATCACAGCAGACTCGTCAAGGTCGCCGGCCCCTAGTGTAATTTCACCATGACCTCGGGTGTGGCCTATAAATACCCGAGGCGCCCGTGTAAGAGGGGGGAGTTATTTTATGATAATTTAATAGGCAATTAATCCGCATTTATTTCATACTTCCCCAGTGAACCTTCGACCTCGCACTCACGCTAGCTCACTGATCCTTCTCCCTCTGGGAAACCCTAGGCCTCTCCCCGCGTGGTCCTCAGCGAGGATGAGAGGCCAGGAGTGACCCCACACCTATGAGATGATATTGCTTTTTTTTAGTAAATAACAATATATTGTAATAAAACATAATAGTAGGGTAAATATCCTATTATTACGATTGTGTAGGCACCTGCTTGTGTAGCATTTTGATTGGCATTTTTGAATTCCTAATTTTACCATGATCATCCATAAGTGTTTTCACTGTCGTGATTGGCTTGCTCAAACAATCCTTTATTGTAATCTTATGCCCAGCTATTATCTAATATAATTCTTCTTTCGTGCAAAAAAGATTATATGAGCTACTTGATTCCATAAAAGTAAATGCAATGTTTTGTGAAATTCAAATGCTAACCACATGTCCCAAGTCTAGAGGCAACTTTATTGTGGGTAGCAGCAAAGTATGTTGGCAAATCGGATGCTCGAATGGTGTTGACGCGTCGATCCGGATCACACGCTAGCAAGGACCAGAACCCTCAAGGTTGCACACGACCTACCTATCACACAACAAATAAATAGATCGATTAAGCCAATTTAGAGTCCGTTCTTCACCGCAAGAGCTCGAAAACACCCCTAGAGGACCCGTTGGGGAGAATGGGAGATCCACGCTTGAGGTTGTCCTACCACAATAAGTAAGGCCACCTAGAACGTTGTTGGATCTCACGGAGAGATACAACGAACAGCAAGAGATTGTTAAAAAAGACAAAAAAGGGGTATAGTAGATGTAAAAGGTCAATTGGATGTTGGATCTTTCAATCGCTCGTGATGCTTCTTTGTTGGATCTCTCAATCGACTAAGCATGCTCCATCCAAATGAAAGGGGTATAGTAGATATTGGATCTCTCCATCGACCAAGGACGCTCCATCGATTTCCACTCCAGCTATGTAAAAATTAAACTAGTCTCTTCATATTTTGTAGAGATCCTAGAACATTCAAATGAAACGGACGAACTGATTCTTTGTTTGGCTTATACCGATACCAGTGTCCCTTGGTCGGAGACTCAGAATCGATGGAGCAAACAGTCCTAGGTAGCTGACGGTTACCTACATTGCCACTATGCACTAAGTATTTTTCTCTCACAACAAAACAGCTTCAGCCGGCTTTAATACCAGTTGAACAGGCCCAACAACTTCAGCCGGCTTATCAGTCGGCTTTAATACCAGCCGAACAGGCCCTATAGTTTGCACTGCTGGTTTAAAAAGGATATCCAATTATTAACCGACTCCTAGGCTTATGACTCGGCAATGAAACATATAGGCACTGCCAGCTCCAGCATAATCGATGGTGACGGTCGGTAGTGATTGCCCGTTTTATAGCAGTGTTAGGTCTTATCTGAATAAACTATGCTAATCGACAATTAGTTTTGCAGACTTGCAACCTGTTCGCTTGAACTTATCAGCCTGCCTTATCATTTCATAATAAATCAGCGAACAATATTTTTTAACCTGTCTTTTCAGCGAAACGAATAGGGATCCGTGTCTCACTATATGATACTTTAGGTAAGTTATTAGGAGACCATTAAATATATTCAATGTAAAGCTAGCTACCAATTCTTTCTCATCACTATCGTGCAGTGGCTCATCCATGGGGGCGGCACGCTACCCTGGGATCCATTGAGGCTGGCAAGGAAGGATGAGACAGCGGAAGTTACATATAGTCGACCTGTTCGTTGGTTGGTTTCTGGGCTGATAAATTCGGCTTGTGTTGATTTGTTGTGAAAGAAAAACACTATTGGCTGACTAATAAGTCATGGCTAAAATCAACCAGCGAACAGACTCATATATAGTGTGGCTCATATACAGTGTAGGAGAGAAAATGTTAAGTGTTCCGTCGGAGAGAACGGGGAAAAAAGTCACGTGGTGTGGAGAGCCGTCCAGGTGCAACCGAGCATATGTTGACTGTTTAACCTACCTTACATGGTAATAATGGGAAGCTTCGTTCATTCAGTTGTCCTACTGGTTATATATTGCCACAGCCAAGGACCAGTACGGCGAAGGTCCAGAGGTTAGCTCGATCACGATCGATGAGCATGTTCGTTTGCTCGTATACGATCGTGGATTATAAGCTAAAATAGTATTTTTTTTTCACATCAAATTAGTCAGCAGTAAATAATCTATGATCGTTTACGATCAAACGAATAAGCTGAGTGTACTCAGTGGAACCGCCGGCTCGATTAGCATAATCACCATCACTAACGATAACGAAACTCGTCATCTTTGCTACGCAATGCCGTACTCCTATACATACAGTGACTTTCTGCTTCTTCTGCAACGGGATCTGCACTCGATCGTCACACTCGATCGTCAGGTGATGGCGCGATGAGGTCATCTCCTAGTTGACGCTTTCTCACGTGCCCACCTGCATTTCAATTAAAATTTCCACGCCTCCGACCCACGAGCCGAGGGGCGCGTCTAGTTCGGCAAAGTTTGCATAGTGCACGATTCTCCACTGTAGCATTTTGTTTGTATTTGTGAATTATTGTCCAAACATTGACTAATTAGACTCAAAAGATTCGTCTCGCAAAGTTAAAGCAAACTGTGCAATTAGTTTTTGATTTCGTCTACATTTAATACTCCATACATATACCGCAAGTTTAATATGACGGGGAATCTTCTTTTTTGCATAGTACACTTTTGGAGAATTAAACAAGGGTCAGCTTCCTTTCCACCTTTCCCAAAAAGAGTCGTTAGGTACGGTCAGGGGCGGATTTGGGCCTAGGGCCACGGCCTAGGCGTGGGCCAAATCTCCCTTTATACCCTCTTAATTTTCCCATGGCCCAGGTTGCCATTTCCATGAAATGCCCTAGTCTTGGCCCATCAACACATCAGCGAAGGCCTGCGTTTGAAGCTCAGCAGCTGCCTGCCGGCCTGCTTGCGGCTTGCGGTCCACTGGCACAACCAGGAAGGAATCGCATAGTGGCCCACTGGCCCTAGGCGTGCAAATTGGCCAGCTCCGCCACTGGGTACGGTGTTTGAATCCGGCGCTGGCTAATGGACACCGCCACTCATTAAAGTCTGTTTTATATCTCTTCTACGGTTACTTTCGATGGCAGATTTCATGTCTTAGTTTTCAAAATTGCTATCCCATGTAACCTCTCTCAGATGTACCCTATAATTTTATCTCACGATTTCATAAGCTAGCTATAAGGCTGGACGAAAACTCAAAGCTCGTTAGTTCGCTCGGCTCCCTTCTGATTTTTCAAGTTTTCTAACAATAGACTCTGATACCACTTGTTAAAGTGCGCAGCGGATTCAGCCTGCTATACCCATGAGTCGACGCCACACCAGGACCAAGTCCGCCAGAGCCCACAATATACCAAGGTCTTAGGCCTACCTCAACTCAAAAGAATAGCTTGTAACACTCGCCTTATATGTTGTGTTCCCCTATCATTAGTTTTTGATGTGGGATTAAACCAAACAATAACGTTGCATGGCATCGAATCGAGCGTGTGAGAATGAAATGATCCTCTCTCAATGTTCTTTTTCCAAGGCGCTAGATACAAGATACTCTTTTGGGCCTGTTCGCTTGTCTGAATTCTGGAGTAATTTGGATGGTTTGGAGGAATGCTGGAGGAATTTGTAAGAGAAAAACACTGTTCCAGAAAAAAAATAAACAGATCAAGCCGGGTTCCATGTCAGCCGAACAAGGCCTTTGTTTTGTCTGGATGCAACTACTACTCTCACCCTTCTTAATTTTGTTACGACCGC